GAATGTTGAACTTATGGCCTTGTGCATGCTTGGGAAATGCTCTTTATTACTATTATTTGAGACAAGGTCTCACTCTGTAGTTCAGGCTGGCCTTGAACTCACTATGTAGCCCAGCTTGGCCTCAAACGCATAGTGATACTTCTGCCTCAGCCTCTTGAGTGCTGGGATTACAGGTTTGTGCCACACACCTGTATTTTGAGACAGGTCCTCCCCAGGTAGGCTGGCCTCAAACTTTCAATCATTTTCACTCAGCCTTCCAAGTAGCTGAGACTACTAGGAGTGCAGGATGACATCTGGCCTAAAAATATATACTTTAAAAAATAAACTTCAAACCAGGCTTGGTGGCGCATGCCTGTAATCCCAGCATTCTGGAAGGCTGAGCCAAGAGAATGACAAGTTCAAACCCATCCTAGGGCAGAGGATTTAGCTCAATGCACATGCCTGGCAAGCCCAAGGTCCTGAGTTTGATTTCCAGTATCAAAGTCAAAAAACCCATCCTCTGTTAGTAAGACTGTCTCAAAATAAAATATTAAAAAGGGCTGGGAATGTAGCTTGGTGCAAAGACCCTGGGTTCAATCCCCAGTACTACACACAAGCAAAAAAAAAAAAAAAAAAAAAAAAAGTGAGTTTTAGAGGTATACAACACAAAGTTATAAAACACACATATAGTATAGTAAAATAGTTACTATAGAGGAGCTAATTAACATATTCATCATCTCACATAGTTGTTCATCTTTCCCTGTGGTGAGAGCAGCTATAATCTACTCATTTAGAAAGGTCATGAATACAAAAAAAATTTCAATTTTTTCAAAAAAGAAAAGAACAAAGAGCTCTGACCTGCGCTGCCCCGAGTCACCGTTCCCTACTCCCAGTGCTACATGATACTGTCTCTATTAACACTTTGATATTTTGTTCATTATTTTTTCTCATTAATTCTGACATTTTGAAGATACTGCATTAGAATATTTATCTTGAGGACTGTGTGTGCGCTCAAGAAGCTCATCCGAGTCTGCGCCCAGCCTTTCTCATTTCTTCCCCCGCTGTGTGCGGCCGGTCCGCCGGGGAAACTGAGGCACCGAGAGGTGCAGAGCGCTGACCTTTGCTTATCGCTGCAGAGACAGCGATGATCGCATCCCCGTTTCGGGGACCTTTCAGGCAGGGCGGCCGCGGCGTGCTGAGACAGCTGACCTTTTCGGCGCGACAGCAGGAAAGGCCGGCGCTCGAACCCACCTCACTGATCCCTCCTAGGTCGCTGGGTGGTGGGAAGAGCGCCCATGACGTCATCGAACACAAGCCTAACCTACCACTGACATCACAGAAGAACCTGAATCTCCGTATTCTCCCCTGATTGTCAGTGCAAGAGACCCCACTGAGGGAAGAAGTCAGGAGATCTCTCCTTTCTCGCCTTTTTATTTGGTAAGTCATTTAAAGTACATGGGAGTGGACTACAATTCCCATTAAGCTTTACGTGCAGCGCACGCGCAAGGACTACAGCCAGAGAGCGCGACAAATCTTTGGGTTAGATTGACATCTTTTTAGTCGAACCGACAGGCTGGTTTTACAGCCGTAAACCAATCCCGTACACAGAGATCCCACCTCTTTATTATTATAATATCCGCTGCTTCCTTGCGGGACTGACGGGCTTCGCTACCTTTAAGAGTCCAGTTTCGTTTGATGGACATTCCTATCGATGAATCAGAGCACCGGGAAATTAAGAGGGTGTTGAAAAGCGTGAATGGCGACCAATAGTATACCGGAAGGGCTTGGCGTCGTCCAATCAACTCTCCCAGCACCGCCAATCACCCAGAGCCACGCCCCTACGCGTGACGAAAGTAGGGTGGGTAGCAACAGTTGCCCCGGTGAGGGAAACGGAGGCGCCATAGCCACGGTAGTCGTGGCGACCAAGCAACCCGGCAACGCGAGTCAACAACAACAACCGGCCGACCGACCCCCACCCCCACCCCCACCCCCGGCTTGGCCTGGGGACCCTGGCACGTTCCGTTCCCCTCCCCACATCGCCACTGAGGCCTCCGAAAAGCCGTTCCGCGGACAGAAGCGGGTAGAAGCCAAGGTAACCGAGGCAGCCCGGGCGGCTGACGGGACCAGGGGAGGCAGTAGAGTCCAGGCGTTGGGTGTCGCTGTAATCCCAATCCAGGGGGAAGGGGCGAGCGGTCAAAATGGCGGCGGCGACTGTCGGGACCGTGGGGGAGGGGGCCGAGGCCCGGCGGGGCGACACCACCCGCCCCCCCAGCCCCGCGGCCCGTCCCCCGTAAGGGGCGGGCACTGGCAGGCGGCGGCGAGTGGAGGTCCTCAGGCCGGGGCGGGGGGCTTTTATATGTCGGGAAGTGCGAAGGGGCGGGCTTGGGGAGGCTGGGCCAATGGGAGTAAGAGGGACCAGTGGGCGGGACCAAATTGGTGGGCGGGATATCACCCACCCCGCCCCCGGGCGCCCTGGGGAACGGGGTGGGGCGGCCGCCACCTGGCCAACCGGATCCCTGTAGCGGTAGGAGGCTTCCTGTGCCGCGCATCCTTTCAGAGACCCGTAGTTGTCCCCAGGATTCAGCGCGTGGACCAATGCCTACCACGTTGGAGGCCTCAGTTTTCCACTCTGTAAAATGGGAAGAATCGTTGCTCTTTCTCCTTTTCTGCGTTTCTGGGACTTCTGATTCTGTCCAAGAATTTCGGTAGGGCTCCCTTCCTTACCTACTGCCTCGGAATGTGGTTTGATAGATTAAGTCTTAGCCCTGCCCTCCATTGCTACACCGTTTTTCTGGGAGGAGACGAAAGGGCCAAGTTTCACGGGAAACTAGGGTAACAGACGACTGGCCTTTCTTTGGCCTGGAGGAGTTAGTTTGCAGAAATCGAAGCACATGGCAGGGAGGGGCGATCTTAGGAGACAGATTTAGAGGAACTGAAACTTGATTGCTTCTCTCCGTGCCGCTGTCTTTATCCTAGTGTGGTTCCTGGTCTGAGGGGCTTATTCTTCCACTTCGGGACTTTTCTTAGCTGTCCCGCCCACTAAAGTCTCCCCTAATGCAGTGGGAGGCAGATGGCCCCTGAGGAAGTTTCATAGATTCCTTAAGCCACTGCTGTTGGCCAGACACGTTTTTGTGTCAGCTTCGTATCAACAGGGTCATATGTTGTGAGGAGGTACCAGGCTCCAGAGCCACGTGGCTGGAGCCAGTAGCACCCTAAGGGGAAGGGGAAGCTGTCCACATTTGTCAGCAGACAATGTGTGCAACTGCTTTTTGGCCCGACAAGTTCTGCCAGCTTGGGGAAGTCTTTTTTTAATTTTTTGAAATCTTTTAAACTTCTTTTGGGAAGCATTTTAGATATACATAATGATAACATTCATTACAGGGAATCTGTACCTGTGAATGATATATCTTGCTTCTTTTTTCCCCCATTACTCCCACTCCTTTCAACTCCGCTTCTCTTCCTTCTGTACAAAACCTTTGTTCCCACTTTTTCCTTCTGTTCTCTTTTTTGTCCCTTCCTTACTTTTTCCCTCTCCCCTCCTTTGTTCCCCTTCCCACTGGAACATTTTTTGGGGAAGTCTTTTGTTGTTTTTTTTTTAAGGTACCAGCCAGGGCAAGTCAGCTTTGCGTGCTCTGTCTGCTTTTGAGCTTGACATTGGTGTGCAAACTGCAGCCCGTCTCTTTTAAATCAGTTAACAAACTCCCAGGATAAGGATTGGTTCATGCTTTCCCCCAAGAATTTGAGATCAGGCTGGTGGGTGGCTGGGATCCCACCATGCACTAGGTCCTCTTGGAAGAGGGAAGCCAGGACTCCTCCAAAGTTAAAACAGGTGTTTATTCAGTTTCAATAAGAATCTATAAAACCAAATTACACCGGGTGTGGTGGTGCGTGCCTGTAATCTCAGCACTCAGGAGGCTGAGGTAGGAGGATTGCTGTGAGTTTGAGGCCAGGGTGGGCTACACAAGACCAGCCTGGAGTACATAGGGAGACCCTGTCTCAAAAAACTAAAAAACAAAACAATAAAAAACCCCAAAAAAACTAAGTTGCTAAGAAAGATCATCAGCTCTTATGAGGCAGGCCAACTATGAACCAAAAGGGATGGTACTGATTACCTTGATGACTGTCTCAGCCTCCACTCCCCACCAGTAATTTTTCCCAAGCTCACTGACCAGGGAAGGGACCCTGGTTTGGTTTACTGTTCTTGAGTAACCAGTTGCTTTCTAGCTGTGTGCTCTTAGGCGAGTTACCTAACTTCTCTGGGCCTGGTTGGTCTCCTCTAAACTAGGTGCAGGAATCATTTTAATCTCAAATTGCTGTGCAGTGGATCCCATGAAATAATGCACAGGGAGCATCAAACACAGTAATTGCTCAAACCATTTTAGCCTCTGTTGTCATTATAATGCTAGTCACTTCCTGCCCAGCCCTCAGAATTAACCGTTTGTCTTTATTTTTATGGTTTTGAATTGAGGGAGAGCCTTGTGGCTTTAAAGATTGCCTTGCTTGCTAGGCTTCAGTGTCGATGACAAGGATCCAGAAAGCTGGATACTGGGACTCCGATTTCTCTCTCTCTCTGCTTTTGTTTGTTTGTTTGTTGTTTGAGACAGGTCTCGGTATGTAGTGCAGGCTGGCCTTGAACTCAGTATGTAGCCCACCCTGGCCTCAAACTCACAGTGATTCTCCTGCCTCAGCCTGTGCACCATCACGGTGGGGAGGACTCCAGCCTCCGGGGGACAGCATCGGCTCCTCTTGCTGCTGGCTGACCTTGCTCTGGCTTTGGGAGGGAAGCCAGAAAGAGGACTCTTTCCTGGGTCTCAAGATGAACTTAAACTCAGCCTTGTGTTTCCCAGAAGGTGCACTCTATGGGAAACATTGGCCTGAGAAGGGGCTCTCTGCAGGCAAAGCTCTCCCCTTTCTCTGTCACACACCTAGTGTGGAGCAGGGAATGGCCAGCCAGACTCTTCCAGGACCACAGCCTTAGCTAAACAGCTGCACATCATCCCAGCACTTGGGAAGCTGAGGCGGGAGGGTCACTGTGAACTGGAGACCAGCCTGGGCTACGCAGTGAGTTCAAAGACATCCTGAACTATATAGCGACCTTGTCTCAAAAAAACAAAACCAAAAGAAAAGAGAGCAGCTGTACAACGCAGTCTTTCTGACCTAGTGAGGTTTCTCCACCTGGGCCTGGGCTCACGGTGCACCAGGTAGTATCATCCACCCTGTAGCACATGCCTGCTCCAGCTGGAGGCAGTAACTTTCTCACAGTGTCACCAGGTTGCCCTTTTGACACCCACCAGCCCCATGTTCTCCGCCAGTGCATCTCTGCGCATTGGGCTGTAAATAAGAGTTGAGTCCCCAAGGGCTGAGCGGGGCCTTAATGGTGAGTGCTCACCTAGCAGTGCAAGGTCCTGGGTGTTCTATCCCCAGCACTGGAAAAAAAAGAACACCAAAAAGAGTGGCATCCCCGTGCATGTTTGGCAGTGTTGCAGGGGCTAGGGTGGAGGACAGGCGTGGCAGGCCAGGCCTCTGTCCTTTCGAAGCTTACTTTTCCAGTTGGGGAGGGAAGAGCAGGTGTGAATAAGAGAGTAAACAAACAGGGAAATACACTGCTGAAAAGAAAATCAAACTGGACTGTGTGCCTGCCAGACGGGCAGGGTGCCCAAGACCAGGATGCAACATGCCAGCCGAGACCTGAGCAGTAAGAAGGAGCCAGCAGAGCAAGTGGGGCTGGCAGGCAAGAAGAAGCCGAGGTGCAAAGGCCCCAAGGCAGGAAGGGCCGGGGACATCTTGGGCCACGTGCTGGGACACCTGGAGTGTGAAAGGCAGGGATAGGTGGGCCAGGGCCTGCAGGACTTAGGGTCATGAGGAGGATGCCAGGTTTTCTTTCCTCACTGTGATGGGAGCTATGGTGGCTCTGGGCTGAGCTGTGACACCACGTCAGGAGCTGTTTTCAAAGGGCCTTGCAGTCTGTAGGCAGGAGCAGGGACCAGAGCTTCGGGACTGATGGCCTCTCTGACAGCACTGGGGATGGATGCAGAGAGAAGTACCCAGCCACAGGGTTATATTTTGGAGAAATGAACAATAAGTCTTATGAACTAATTAGAAACAGAGTGAGGGAAGCACATGTCATTGCATTTAAGTTTAGTGAACCCATTCTACAGATGAGGAGAGTGAGTTTTTTCCCACTTCCCTAGGAGGCCCTGACCATGATGGGAACCTTTTGGTTATAGAACCTGGCATCTATAACAGCTCAGCTAAGTACAGCCCCTTGCCTGTTTTTGTATATCTCTGACCTAAGAGTGATTTTTATATTTATAAATGATTGGAAACCTGGGCGTGGTAGTACACATCTGATTTCCCAGCACTTGGGAGGCTGACGCAGGAGGGTCTCTGCAAGTTTGGGGACAGCCTGGGCTGCATAATAGGTTCAAGCCTAGCCTGGATTACATAGTAAGATCCCATCTCAAAAAAAAAAATTTTGGAAAAGAAGAAAAGAATGCTATTTTGTGATATGAATCATATCTCATGACATGTGAATTTTTTTTTTTTGGTACCGGGGATCGAACTTGGGACCTTGCACTTGCGAGGCAGGCGGCGGAACCACTGAGCTAAATCCCCAGCCTGACATGTGAAAATTTTATAGAACTCAAATTTGTGTCTGGAAACAAAGTTTTACCAGCCTGCCCATTTGTTTACATGTTGTCTGTGGATTTGTTCATACCACATGGAAGAGTTCAGCACACATAACACACACGGTCTGCCCACTACACCAGACATACTTACCATCCAGCGCTTTTTGTCAATTTGCTAGCCTCCATCTGAAGTCATTGGTTCAGGCCTTCTCTAGAAACTAGCTGTTGGCTGTGGAGTGAGGTGCAGCCACTAGGGCTTTTCTTGGCAGATTCGTTGCCAGGGAACAAGCTTATCCAGCAGTTCTCTTGTTCTGTGTGCTCTGTGCTCAGATACCCCAGAACCCATGTGCTGTGTAGACAGACATGTGTGATTCAAGGTCTGTAAAGGGCACAGCAGCTCTCAGCCCATCACCACCTCCTGTCCATGCCCCTGAGCAAGAGGCTTGCAGCCTCCAGGCTTGGTGTACTTAGGAGACAGCACCAGCCAGGGTGGAGCTTTTAAAGCCCTTTGCCTAGTCAGGTATGGTGGTACATCCCAGCACTCTGGGAAGCTGAGGCAGGAGGATCATAAATTCAAGCCCAGCTTGGGCCACTTAGACCTTGTGTCAGAATTCAAAAAGAAGGGCTCAGTGTTGGAGACCCTGTGTTTGATCCCCAGCACTGCCAAAGAAAAAAAAAAAAAAGAAGAAGAAAAAGAAAAGGAAGGAAGGAGGGAGGGAGAGGCCCTTTCCTTGGGGGAAGGGAGAAGGCGGAGCCAGCTTTCCTAGGGCTGAGAAGGCCAGGGCCAGGCTCTCTCAAACAGTGGCCCCAGAACCACCATCTGGGGATTTGGGGGAGCATCTCAGACCGAACAGTGGGCCCCAGGAATCAGCTCCTAGATAACGACGAGGATTAAACTTGGGTTCCCATTCAGCACCTCCTGAGGGCTGCCCACCTCTGTGCACCCCAGGTATGGCCAGTGTGCCATGTACCTCGCCAGCACTGTCCCCTTGGTCACACAGAGACCCCAGCCCACAGGTTCCCAGCGAGGCCCTCCCCAAAAGCCACCCAGCCAGGAGGAGGCCATATTCAAGTTACACTTGGCCCTGCCCAGGGCTGGGTTCCCATCACCTACCTGCCACCTCTTGAGTTTGGCATCAAAGGCCAGAGCCCATGTCCCGGAGAGGAAGGGACAAAGAGGTAGGATGAACAGGGGAAACTCAGGGCAGCCCTGGAGCCTCCTGGGGTGCCCACTGCTTCCCAGCTGATGCCCTCCCTGGGGTGTGAGCTTGGGGTGGCACTGGAGTCTCCCCCACAGGCAGGACAGGGAGGTGCTGTCTGCTGATGGAGAGGAGTAGATGAGGACCATGCCTGGCATCCCGAGGTGGGCTGGGGCCCAAGAATGGGCATCTGGGGGCACAGTCCCCCCACCCCAGGGGTACGAGGAGGAGGCAACCAGCCCTGGGCTCTAGGCTCCTGGCTTGTCCTCGTCTCCCTTGGAAACCCTGCCCAGATCACCCTGGCCTGGAGGGCTGCCTGCTATGCTTAGCACACAGATGCCAGGGGTCAGCTGCCAGCCTCTGGGGCACAAGTGGGTCAGGGTGGTGGCCAGCTACAGACAAGGCACTCAGACTCAGGACCCCCAAAAGTGCAGGGCTTCAGTGTCTGTCACTGGTTTGTTCCACTGTCCCCCGCGTGCCCTGGAGCTGAGATGGGGCCTGTTAGTGCAGAAGCCCCCGAACTCCCTGCTGAGATGAGGACAAGGGGAGAAAGGCTGGCACTTGGCCATCACCCTGGGCAGGGAGCAAGGCCTTCCACAGGCAGAGAGCCACCCGCAGTCACTGTTCTGCCTGCCGACCTGACCGTCCCCACTGTGGGCTCACAGAGCTGCACCTGCCCCTGGGTAGAGGTCCCACAGCCTCTGAGGCCACAGGAGCCCCAGGGAGGGGGTGGACTCCCAACACCTTCTTGTGTCTGGCACCGCACTGGGAACAAGGCTGGCCCAGAACTCAGCCCAGATGGCGGTGGCCGCCAGGGAACAGCTTTCCCCCGCCAGCTTGCCTTTTCAGCCAGAGCTGACTCCCCTAGGACTCAGGATGCCGGGTTCAGATGGCTCTGCCACTTCCCTGCTGTGTGGCCCAGGGCAGGCACTGGACCTCTCTGAGCTGTGGCTCCTCCTCTGGCTACCCCAGCCCAAGCCCTACAGGGTTGCTGCCCAGTGTGCAATGCACAATGTCAACCAGCAGGAGAGACGACCTGGGGAGCTCAGTCTAGGAAGGGGGCAGAGGAGGGGCAGCCATGGCCTTTGAGCCTGACCTGTGAGACCTGGCCCATTTGTCCCTGGGCGAGGACACAGAGCCACCAGGTTGGCCCAGGGTCCCCCTGGCTCAGGATGCATGACCCCAGGCCTGTGGGGGTTCCCAAGTGCCAGGGGCTGGAAGGAGGGAGCAGAGAGGCTCAGCCTCTGTCTGTGCCCATGTCCCCTGCAGGTCACCTTTATCTGGCCGCCAGCCTCGGGATTTAATTAAGTTAGTGACAAACCCAAACGCATCTCCACAGAGCCAGAGCTGTCCCTGACTTCCTCTGCTTGTAGATTAATTCTTGTTTTTCCTTCTTTTTTTTTTTTTCCTTTCTTCTCCCCTCTCCTCTTTTTTCTTCCCAAGGAAGAGAAGAAAAAAAGTCTTATTTATTATCATTTTCCCCACTGTTGGCATGGCAACCCAGGCATACGTTACAGAGCTACAGGCAGCCTCGAAAGCATCGCAGCCACCTCAGGCCCCACCCCAGGCCCAGCCCCAGCCGCCACCCCCACCACCCCCAGCAGCACCCCAGCCCTCCCAGCCGCCCACTGCTGCCACCACCCCCCAGCCCCAGTATGTCACCGAACTGCAGAGCCCCCAGCCGCAGGCACAGCCCCCAGGTGGCCAGAAGCAGTATGTGACTGAGCTCCCAACTGCCCCTGAGCCCTCGCAGCCAGCCGGAGCACCCACCTCGGCCCCCACGTCACAGCAATACATCGTGGTCACCGTCTCGGGTAAGTGAGCACGTGCACTCAGAGTGGGGGCTCAGGGGCAGCTCAGAGAGGAGTTCGTGGGAGGCCAGCATCCTGGGTGACCCCCACCCACTAGGCTTTTGGTGGTAATTTGGGGGCCTCTGGAGAAAGCGTAGTTAGGCTAAGCAGGAGGCCTGTGTGGCCCCCAAACTCTGTCCCACCAGGCAGCGGTTAGATGTGTTCTTATCTCTGTCGCCAGAAAGGAGGACTGGGTGATGGAGTTCATTTTACAAACAACTGGGGCAGCCAGGCTGATTCCCAGCCCCTTGGCCTCCCTGCCATGGTTTCCCCACCGGTAAGGGGTCATCGTAGCCTTTCACTCTCAGGGTTGTGCGCACTCCCAGCTGGTCCCATCCAAGGCCTTAAGAGAGACTGGCTGGGGCCCCCAAAGTGTTCCTTCTTCCAGGAAAGCAGCCCTGTCCTTTCTGACGGTTGGCTGGGTGAGGGCCACTTCTACCTCCCTGTGGAAATGGCCAAGAAGGTGGGTCATGTGTTCCCAGGGTGCTGTGACCCTCGATGGGTCTCCTGCCAAGCTCCTCCGGAGGATGTGGCAGGGAGGGGGCTCTGAGCGTGGGCTGGGTGCCTTAGTGCTGTTGACAGAGCACTGTGACACGGAGCTGGCTCTAGAGCTGGTCACTGTAGTAGGTAAGGCTGCTGTCCTTGGCCATGAGCAGGTGAGGTGGCCAGCTCCTGCTCAGGGGCATCCTGTCAGGGTGTGGCTAGGACAGCCTGGGTTAGGTTGGGGACCACGGGTCCACAGAGTGTCAAATACACAGCCCTCAGTGTAGTCCCGGGGGCCCAGAATACATGTGGCCGAGGCCCCCGGGGCTTCTGCCAGTGTCTACATGGGAGGTCCAGGGTTCCTGGGCACAGCTGGGGGCAGGGACACCCAGGGGCCCAGGGAGTTGGCTCTGATTGTGGGCTGGCACAAAAGCCAAGCACAGCACATCTAACCTTTGTTCACGTGGCCTGGCCTGGTGAGGTCAGGCCAGGGATGAGGATAGGATCGTCAGGCTCCTCTCGCCCCTCATCTGTGCCTCACCTCTGGCCCAGGCCTGCAGCTGACCTGCAGGGGACAAGGTTCCCACAGAGAGCCCAGCCGACCTGCCAGTCTGCCCACTCCCCCCAGGACTTGTCCTGCTGGCCCTCACCTCATCTCTCTGTCCCTCCTGCAAATCTTTCCCTCCAGACGATAAAGACCAAAGAACCCCTATGGAGGCGGAGGCAGGAAGAGCGCATGTGCAAGGCCAGTCCAGGCAACTTAGCAAGAGCTTGTCTCAAAATAAGAAATAAAAATGGGCTGGAGATGTAGCTGGGGTTTGATGCCCACTACCACCAAAAGAAAAAAGAATCAGCCCCTATTTAAACCAGAACTCTCGCCTGCTTCTTTGCTTCCCTCTTCCCTCAGATTTCGCCTCTGAGTCCTCATCGAGCTCTGTCCTCAGCTACGTGTGCCCTTCTTTCCCATTACTGCACTGGGCCTCTCTCGGCCCCATCTTGTCAGACTCTCAGTCGCAGGGCCTCGGGCTGGTGCCTGGCTGTGGTCTCCTTCCCCTAAGATGCTGTCCTTGCAACTGCCTGGGGCTCCACCCACCCCCTGCTACCTCCCTCTGTCCCCTCCCCTCCCCTTCCAGACCTCAGTAGCAAGGGGGTGCATCCCAGAGTCTCCCAGAATCAGGCCTGGAGCCCCTCTCCTTCCAGGAGCTCCCTCGTGGTGGCCTCATCCTATGTCATAGCTTTTTTTTTTTTTGGTACCGGCGATCGAACTCGGGTCCTTGCGCCTGCAAGGCAGGCGGCAGAACCACTGAGCTAAATCCCCGGTCCTGTATCATAGCTTTTGATGGCCACCTTGATGTCTCCACCCTGAGCCCCAGGGCCCCATGTCCAGCAGCACAGCCTGAGGAATCCTGAACTCCCTCTCCCCTCCTTTGCGATGTGCCCTTCTCCTTCCAGGCCCAGGGGCAGCCCTGACCCCTGTCTTCCTCCAGCCCCATGGACCCAGCTGTCCACTCTGCCCCTTCCAGCAGCGGAGCCACTGTCTACACAGGTCAGTACAGTCTTCTCAGGTCCTGCTCAGCCCAGTGACTCTGGGGCCAGTGTGCCTTAGAACCTCTGCCTTGTCCACCATGAGAGAACCGGTCCCTTGCCTCGCCCTCCGTAAAACAAGGGCTTAAAAGCTCCCCATAACTGCAGTACAGTGTCATACGCCTGTTCTTCAGCAGGCTGAGGCAGGAGGATGGCACTTGTGGCAAGCCTGGGCTATAGCGAGAGACCTAGTCTTACAAAAGTAAAAAAGTTGGCAGTGATGGGGCGCTCCCAGGTTGCAGCCCAGGCACCACAAAAGGAGGGAAAAGAAGCTCCCTGTGGCCTGGACCCTCTCTCACAAATGCTGAGCCTTACCCTACTCGGCCCCAGGTTTCCCACAGCTCTGCAAATCACCAGGCCCTGGCCCTCCTCCTGGCCTTGGCACACCCTGTGCCCGATGCCCAGGGCTCCCTGCCCAGCCCCCTGCCTCTTGGCACTTATCCCCTGCCCTCCTCAGAGGCCACTTCCCTGGCCTACCCACTCCTCACCACTTGGTGTTCACTGTCTTCTCCTTTCACCTTTCTCTCTCTCTCTCTTTTTTTGGTAGCACTGGAGATTGAACTCAGGTCCTTCACACCAAGCTCCACTCCAAGTCCCTTTTTATTTTTTATTTTGAGATATAGTCTCACTTAGTCACTGAGTTGCCCAGGCTTTGCTCAAATTTGTGATCTTCCTACTTCAGCCTCCCAGAGTGGTGGGATGATAGGCCTGCACCACAGCACCGGGCTTGACTTACTCTCTTGACACTCATCGCCACCGGAGGGATGATGCTGATGCCTGTCCGTGTTACCCGTGGGCCAGGGCTTGGTCTCTCGAAGCTCTGTGGGTGGCCAGTGAGTGTGGGCCTGGCCCAGAATAGCCCTGGGGAGAACACCTCCTATCCCCGTCACAGACCTGGGGCGTCCTGTTGGCCCTGGGCCTTTGGCGTGTGAGTTTCTCATGACTTAGGAGTGTGGGGTCTGGGGTAGGCAACCTTCTCCTGGCCCCCAAACACCTCAAGTCCGTCCTCTCTGCCTTGGCTCATGCTGCCCTTCTCTGCACGCCCCAGGGAGGCCCAGTGCTCAGAGATCAAGGCCACTGCATGGTTTCTGTGTCCCACAGACTCAGGCAGGATTCTCACTCCCTGTGGGCTACCATTGGGGTGGTGGCCACCATCCTGCCACCCTGGGGACATGCCATGGTGGGGGGCTCTGTACCCACCACGGTGGGCTGTAGCCAACCAGCTGTCCATGTAACTCCCAGGCCAGCTTCTCTGGCCCGGTGGTGGCTTTGACACCAGTCAAAGTGGCCCTCGGAAATTCATTTCCTTGCTAGTCAGGGTCGGTCCCTGGAAAGGCCACCAGGCAGCACTTCCTGGGTTTGTCCTGAGGAAGGAGAGGAGGGCTCGTGCCCTCCCAGCTTAGTGCCCCTCTATCTTGGACAGCCTGGGCCTTGTGCAATATCCCCCAGGGAAGGGAAACTGATACTGTAATGTGGTTAGGACAGGGAGGCACCTGGGTCAGTTGGAGCTGCCCAGGAGCCCTAGGAGTCCTGGGTCGGGTGCACCTGGACCTGGAGCCCCAGCCAAAGCAGGCAGATGGCATCATAAGGCCTGTCCAGCCTGGGCCCGGTGTGGCTTTGGAGGTGACAGGAAGGAAGCACAAGTTTCCCTGGTAAGGAACAATACTGATCCCTAACCCCATCCTCCGAGACCACCAGACTCTCATCCAAGTTGTAAGGCAGTGGAAGTTGCTGGGGCCCTGGTGGCTGCCATACCTCTCTACTCCCCTTGGCAGTCAGAGAAGGGTTGTATCTAGAGCAGGGAGGTGGAGTGTTTGTCAACACCCTATGTGGAGATGGGTAAACTGAGGTCCAAGTAGACAAGGAGACCTGGACCTGGCCAGGGCAGCAGGGGCCTAGAACACCTCCCACCTCCAGCGACTCCCTACCTTTTCCAGTGGAAGTGTTAGTAAATCTAGACAGGAAGTGAGGGGCAGTCTACACATCACAGCTGCCACCAGGTAAAAGACAGGAAATGGTCCCTGCTTCCTGCCTCGCACCTGGGCAGGCCCTTCTGTCCTCTGCGGGTGCCCCAGGATGACAGCCATAGACAGACAGGTGCTGTTGCTACCCAGCAGATGCCCCCTCTGCTTTCCCTCCCTGAAACAGCAAAGGTGACCCAGAAGTGACAAGGGACACACACAGACAGGAAGCCCTTCGTCCCAAGAGCAGACTCACCCACTCTTCCTCATGCTGGCCTCCAGAGCCACCAGAGAGACAGGAGATGGGGGACAGGACCACTTCCCAGCACAGCATGGTCCCTGGCCTCCCACTGCTAGGGCCTCACTCCAGAATGGGCCCTAGGTGGAGGAGTAAAGGCAGGTAACTGTGCCCCATGCCATCCAGGTGCATTGGGCCTCACATGACTCCAGGCTATCTTGGGTTTCTCCCTGAGGGCTGACTCCAGCCAGTTGAGGGAGGACTTCAGCTGGGTAGGAGTTAGTGCTCCCTGGAATTAGTGTACAGCAGCTGGCCAAGCGGGCCCAGAACTATCCCAGTGCCAGACCCACATGTAGCCACTTCCCTGACACCTCCTCCCTGTCCTCAACCCAAGTGCACTTGCACACTAATGTTCTCTGCCTTGCACTTGGCCTGAGGTCCTAGCCCTGCCCGAGGCTGTCCTCCTGCCAAGCCAAGGCCCTCTTCTGTGTCCCTTGTGCACCTGTGGCTGACCCACCCCAGGATGCTCTGAACTTGGGTTTTCCCTGTGTGAGTCTGCACCCGCTGCTCTTGGGTCTCAGCCCAGCAGGACCATGCCTTCTGGCCCACGGGCTCCCAGCTGGGTGACCTTGAGCAAATCCCTCCCCCTCTGATAGTCTCTTGCCTAATCTGAAAACAGGCAGGAAGGATGTTCCACTGGGCTATCCAGGATAGTCCCATGCAGCTGGAAGCAATATCAGCACCTCCAACACCACCACCTCGATCGAAGTCTTGCTGTGGGCAGGAAACCCCTCTAAGCCCCTCAGGGAAATTCCCCCAGGAAGCTGGGGCTGGGGCCTCAGCTCCTCCTGGCAGCCCAGCGAGAACAGGCATATGTCTGCCCCATCCAGCCTCAGCCTTAGAACTGCAAGGCACAGAGCAGGCCACAGAGAGGAGGCGAGACAGAGGGCATCCCTGCTGGGGTCAGGGTCTCCTGGCCAGTGCCTCTGGGGATGCTGTCCTTCCCTGCCCCCTTGCCACCCCTGCTAATCACTCAGCAAGATGTGCATGAAACCTGACCCGCACACACACCTGATAGCATCTCTGGGCACCAGCCTCCTGCTCCATGCAGCCCCCGCCCGGGGCTGCTTATCCCAGAGGGTGCACAGGAGCTGTGCCTGCGCTGGGGGATTAGCTCCCCAAGGTTGCGGGTATAAAGCCGCCTGTGCAAAGGTGGGCGGAAGCGAGGAGGACTAGCGGGCACCGTGGACGGACAGACGGTGGGCAGGGGAGCAGGCAGGAGGGCACCATGTTCTATGATTGCCTCTTCTTGGCTGCCTGCCAGCGTGAGTACCCACTGCCCAGCTGCAAGCCCTTTGTAGAAGACATGGGTTCCCAACACTGCTCCAGCCCACCAAAGATAGGATAGCTGGAAGGGGACATCTTGTTACAGGCCACTGAGCCTTTCTGGAGCCACTGCTCTGGCTGGGGAAGCGAAAGATCACACCCAGGAAGGAGGCCCAGCCCCTCGTCCTTCCTAGCTGCCAGGCCTCTTGGGCAGGGCCTGTCTGTTGGCTAAAGGCGTTCAGCTTACCACCTCATTGGTATCATCACTTCAGGACAAGGAGGGCTGGGGGGTGATTCCAGATGTTAGGGATCCTGGGTCTTCTCCCCTGCCCTGGGGACCCCTGATGGCATCTTTTAAGAGGCCAGGCCCTGTCTGAGGTCACCCTGTCCCCCAGCATCTGCTCCAGGTGGGCTGGGGCTCAGGGAGGAAGAGGTGGCTGGCAGAGCTGACCTAGCGACCCCTCCCCACAGAAGGTGCCATGCGGGCCAGCGAGACTGTGTCAGAGGCCAGCCCAGGTGCCACGGCCAGCCAGACCGGCGTCCCCACCCAGGTGGTGCAGCAGGTGCAGGGCACCCAGCAGGTAGGATGCAGCCCTCCCTGGGCAGCAGGCAGGGCGGGCATGTAGGGGGCCTCTCCTCCTTCCTGTCCCCCCTCCAGGGCAACCTGCTCACCTGTGCTTATCAAGATGCACAGAGAGGCCTGCCTGGCTCAGGGCCTGTGCCTTCTGCCCTCCAGCAGCTGCTGGTCCAGAGCGTGCAGGCCAAGCCAGGCCATGTGTCCCCGCTCCAGCTCACCAACATCCAGGTGCCCCAGCAGGTAAGGCTTGGACTCTGGGCCACACCCCTACCTAGGCTAGGGAACCAAAGCCCCTGAGGCTGCTTTGATGTCTTTTTTGGGTTTGGGGGGGGGGGTTGGCAGTACTAGGAGTTGAACCAGGGGCTTTCTTTACACTGAGCTACATCTTTAGTCCTTTAATTTTAATTTTCTATTTAGTTTTTACTTTGAGATAGTGTCTTGCTAAATCACTGAGTTCCCTAGACTGGGCTCAGACTTGCAGTCCTCCTGCCTCAGCTCCCAGAGTACTGGGATTAAGGTGTATGCCATCGAGCCTGGCTTGGATGTGTCCTTGCCATAATTGAGGACACAACTCCATCCAGTGACTTCCTCTCCTTGAGGCTCTCTAGACACAAAACCTGTCTGTGCCACTTCCTGGCCCCAGGACTTGGACAAGAGCTCTTGTTCCCCTAGCCTGGGTGTCGCCTGTGGTGAAGTGGGTTAATGACTGTGCTGCACAAGACCTGATGGGGGTGAGCTCCAAGAATGCAGCCTGGCACCCAGCTGTCTAGGTGATGATGCCCCTCTTCTGCCCGGCTCCAGGTTCTCCCCACACAGCGTCTGGTGGTACAGAGTGCGGCACCTGGCAGCAAGGGCAGCCAGGTCTCCTTGACAGTGCACGGAACTCAGCAGGTGCACTCGCCCCCAGAGGTAGGTGGGGCCTGCTGGACACCCACCCTGTCCTCTGGTCCTCTGTGGGGTCTGTCTGTTCCCCCATAGCACACTGGGAGCTGCCTGCCCAGCCCACTCCTGAGTCCCCTGCCCTGGTCCAGGAGGCAGGGATGACTTGCCTGCCTGCCTGCTTGGTAAGCACTCCAGCCAAGCAGTTGAGAGCCTTGGTCCCAGAGGAGGGGGCAGCTCCACCCCAGGCCTAGGTAGTGGTCAGTTCCAACTCAGGGAGCTGCATCCTGGATACAGAGTGGGTGGATCCCTCCCTGGGAGCCCTGGGCCACGCAGTGGACTCTGGGAACCCACAGACAGCAGCGAGAGTGTTGGAGGCAGGTGGGCCACAGCTGTCCTGGAGCACAGGGGTGGGGTTAGTGGCCCCAGGTCAGCATGAACCCCACTGAGTGAACACAGAGTGCTGAGCTGCACCTGGTGGGAGCCAGCGGGACCTCATACTGCTGTTGTCATCACTATAGACTCTGAGCATCTGCCCGGGAAGAGCTTAGCGGGGTTCTCTCAGCGCTGCCCCCAGCCTGCCCCCTCATCTCAGGCAGCTCTCCTCTGACGATGGGGTAGCATGAGGCCCCTGAGCCACCTCTGGGCCTGGGGGTGACCAGGCTATTGCCAGAAACAGGCATTTGGCCTGTTACCAGCCTAGGTGGTTGGGACAGGGCCTCCAGCCAGCCCTGATTTGGATCTGCCTCTCCTTTCTTGCAGCGGTCACCGGTGCAGGCCAACAGCTCCTCCAGCAAGACGGCCGGGACCCCCTCGGGCACAGTGCCACAGCCGCTGCAGGTCCATGGCATCCAGCAGAGCGTCTCTGTATCCCAAGAGGTGCCTGGCCAGGGTGGGCTATGGCTGAGGCAGAGGGGCTGGGCCAGGTGGCCTCTGGTTGGTTCAAGTGGAACAGATGGGTCCAACCCCTGCCTGCCACCCAGGCCCCTGGCAGCCTCTCCACTTGGGTTGCCAGGGTGGGGGCTGCTGTGGGGAGGAAGTGCAGACCCCAGGGAAGGGCTGGATACAGAGTTGGCCCTGAAGCTGCCTGTAGAACCCACTGTGGCTGCTGCAGGCTGGCATGCTGGGAGAAAACCCCCAGGTCAGGACACAGTGTACCCCAAGAGTAGAGGGAGCTGGCACTCTAAACCCTCAGCCAGTGCCCAGAGCAGGTTAAGAGGAAAGGGCTGTCCTCGCCCTGGTTGTTAACTGCTCAAGTTGGGGGATTCCTGGTCCCTCAGAGAACCAGATGGAGCCAGGCACGGTAGCATGTGGCTGTAGTCCCAGCTACTGGGGAGGCCAAGACAGGAAGATTATTGGATCCAGCCTGGGCAACATAACCATAGACACTTCCCAAAAGGAACACAGAAATCCCATCCCAGAGGATCCATAAATGTTGTCTACCCAGGGCCAGAGCCCCTCAGAACCTCACAGTTGGGTCCAGTTCAAGTCAGGCCACTGTGCCCTTAGGAGAGCCCGGCATCCCTGCTGGATCATTGCAGTGAGGACTGTTGCCCCAGAAGTGTGGGTACCCAAGATAACTCATGGCACACCCCTGCCAGTTCTCTGTACTCTTGCCGGAGCCTGGAGGGGAGGGCGTGGCTCTGGCAGCTCAGCACCTGGAAGTAGGTGCAGGGACCCTGAAGGCCCCCTGTGCTGCTCTCTCTTGGTGGGGAAGGGCAGCCTTTTTCCTGGAGAGCTGTTCTGGAACTGAGGACAGGTGCTTATGTGGGGCTTACTGCCGCCACTGTTGCAGTGGTTACTGTAGCGCCACCCTTATGCTCCTTTCCTTTCCAGAGGTCGGTGGTCCAGGCCACCCCACAGGCGCCCAAAGCAAGCCCGGTGCAGCAGCTGAGTGTCCAGGGGCTCCAGCCAGTCCACGTGGTCCAAGAGGTGTGTGTCTCTCATGACCCCACAGGCGAGCTGGGGCTGGGGGTAGGGAAGGATTACAGCCCCCATCCGGAGGTCCCTGGAGGCTGAGCCAGGTAGAGTTCAGCCTCATACTGTGGGCTGCTGGCCTGGACATGGCTCCTCCCCTCTGGCAGCACTTGGGAGCCCAGGGCCCAGGCTTTTTTGAGACCTGGGTTCAATCCCACTGCTTTCTGGCTGGGAGGGTCATGTCCTCCCTCCCTCCCTGCCTCTCTCCTTCCTTAGACATCAGGTGGGATCTCCGTCTGGGATGGGCCGGAGACTGCTTGGTGACCCCCTAGTGTCTCTGTTTGTCCTCCAGAGCTCAGGCAGGCAGTGCCCCGCTAGGAAGGCAGATCAGCGAGCGCTCCGCGGCAAGTTCCGCACCAGGCTTCGGGCAGAGCTGGTGGGCGTGCTGCCCCCACGCCTGCTCCTGCCGCCGCCGCAGAGGGTGGTGCTCGAGCCGCTGCCCGGGCTCCTGGCCCAGGCTGGCCCCGACCAGAGTCAGGATTCAGAAAGTCCCCCAGGTGCTAGTGTTGGCCATGGCCGCCACGGCCCTCAAAGTAGGTGGCGGATGCAGGGGGGGCCCGTCCCCAGCCACCCGGTCCAGGGCTCTGACTCCGCCCCTGCAGAAGGGTGGGGGTGGAGTTGGGGTATGCAGCCCCGCCCCTAGGAACCAGCCATCTCAGGCTCCGCCCACAACACAAGGAGTCTGGTGTCCAGGCCCCGCCCCTGTGTCCTATCTATCATTCCAGGCTCCACCCCTGTCATCCTGTGCCAGGTATCTAAGCCTTGCCCCTGGGCTCTGTCCCGTCAGGCCCCAGTCTGCTGGCTGACCCACAGAGGCCTGCACCATCCTTACCTGATAGCTCTTCCTCACTCCCAAGCCCCAGCTGAGGACCCCAGGCCTGATCAGGAGAACCCCGCAGTGACCCTGCCAGGCCCGGGGAGAGCCAGGGGACTCGGCCTGACTCCGGCCACCCTTCCTCCTGCCCAGGTGCAGCAGCTCCAGCAGGTGCCCGTGCCACATGTGTACTCCAGCCAAGTACAGTATGTGGAGGGTGGCGACGCCAGCTACACGGCCAGTGCCATGTAAGTGGGGCATGCAGGGCCTCTCCCCACCCCCACCCCCACCCCACCCCCATCGTAAAGCCTCAGGCATCACCCACGGAGCAGCCAGAAGCCCCAAGGAATGGTGAAGAGGACACTTACGGCTGGGAAAGGCACCCAGCATAGTTTAGGGCTTTGCAATCACATGGGCCTGGGGTTTTTTTTGGTGGGGGGGATATAGATAGATAGGTAGACAGATGTTTAAATTTTTACAAGATAAAATTAGAGGGCCAGGGATTTAGCTCAGTGGTTCTGGTGCTTGCCTCAAAAGTGCAAGGTCCCAAGTTCGATCCCTGGTACCAAAAAAAAAAAAAAAAAAAAGGTAAAATTAGATTTCTACACAATAGGAAATGTTAAACAGTGGAAAAGCAGCTCTTTCACTGGAGGGGACACTATGACCCGTTTCCTCCCAACAACGCTCTGAAAATAGAAACTATCCCCTTTCTTCGTTCAGAAATAGAGGCTGTGTACTCCATCCCGTATTTCTCCTCCCAGCCATGGATCGCTCAGATTTCCTGTTAGTCCCCATGACCCCTGTCCCTCTCTCTAACTACTGTGTGATGATACTGCCTGGCCCAATGTGGTGACACACAAGTGGTCCCTGCCCTGGTCCTGCACACTAACCTCCCAGGGTGAAGTAATGCCAAGGCCCATGCCACTGTGCCTGTCCATCCTCCCAGCAGAGATTCTAGCATGGTGGTTGCTACTGTTTTAGTTTCTAGAATTTCCACTTTGTTGTGTGTCTAATTTTTTTCTTTCATCCCTGCCACCTGTCCTTGTGGGCACAGTGCTGGAGTTGGATTAGCTCAGAGAATGGCTCTGTCTTTGGGTCAGGACGCTCTGACTGACCCTGAGGAGTGTGGTCCTGGCATCCGAATTGTCACTGATTCATTTCCAAAGAGGCCTCACCCCCCCAGGGACACAGCTGAATCAGAGCCCAGCTGGCTTCTTCTGCCATCCCTGGAGCTTCCACCTATGCCCTCTGTGGCTGTCCCGTAGGAGGGCACACATTTAGGTTGTCATTTCTGGCCAGTTCTTTATTCCCTGAGGTTCTTCAGGGCCAGTGTTGCTGTCGGTTGTATTTTCTGTTCCTCCCTCTTGGTGGACTATTACAGGGTTCCCAACCCTTGGCCTGTGTGGGCCCAACCCTGGCCCAAACCACACCACCCCTGGGCCTCCATTCTTGGCTTTATCCAGGGTACATCCACAGACACTCTTATTTGTTCATTTAGCAAATAACCTACTGAACAACCTTTCTATTTTGTTTTTTATGTGGCACTGGGCAACATGTGCTACTTTCCCATGCCAGGCAGGCGCTCGCTGCAGAGGGACACCCAGCTTGAGTCTCCGGTTTTGAGATAGGAGTTGCATCCTGGGCCCTGTGGAGGGGCGAGCTGGCTCTGGCACTGGCCGTGGGAGAAGAGGGTGTGTGCTCAGGTCATCTACTCGGGTCACGTGCTCTTGGTGTCACTGCATATGGTGGAGGATGCCTTGATGGTCCCCAGTCAGATCCTGGTACCCAGTGAGCAGATCATGTAACCGTGCCTCCAGGTATCCCACCAGGTCCCCTTCAAGTCCGTCCCTCACCCTCACCTTCTCGTTCAGGGATCTGCTCCAGGGGTTCTTCCTGCACAGTGACCAGCACACAATAGGCTTGTTCGTCCGCGCATGTGTGACCACCTTTGGTTGTTGGGGATGGGCCTTGCACATGCTAGGCAAGCACCCTGTCACTGAGCTGCACCCCTAGCCCTTTTTAGTTTATTTATTTATTTATTTATTTATTTATTTATTCTTTTGGTGTGGGGATCAAACTCAGGACCTTGGACTTTTGACACAGGTGGCGGCACCACTGAGCTAAATCCCTGGCCCTTTTAGTTTTTATTTTGAGGCAGGGTCTCACTAAATTGCCCAGGCTGTCTTCAACTTTGCGATCCTCCTGCCTCAGCCTCTGGAATGTAGCTAGGATTGCAGGCATGCAAGATGGCAGGATTGTTTGTTTTTCTTTTTGTTTTGTGGTGCTAGGGATCAAGCCCAGGGTTATAAATATCTTCTTCGGTTGGGTTTTTGACCGGGGGAAGTATAGCCTATCACAAGTTACCCAACCCTTCCATCTTAGTCTCCTGGCAAGGAGAAGGGAAAAAGTGACTCCTGTGCCACAGGGCTGCATTGATTATTCCATGAAAAGTTGCCCATGAAGCCACCCAGGCTCAATACCACACTCTTGTCATCCTAGCACTTGGGAGGCTGAGGCAGGAAGATCACTACTAGTTTGAGGGCAATTTAGGCTTCATAGTGAATTCAAGGCCTGGGCTACATAGCGAGACCCTGTCTCAAAAAAACAGAAAAGGGCCGGGGATTTAGCTCAGTGGTGCTGCCGCCTGCCTTGCAAGCGCAAGGTCCCAAGTTCGATCCCTGGCACCAAAAACAAACAAAACAAAAACAACAAAAAAGAAAAGAAAGAGAAAAGTTGCCCATCAAGCACCTAGGTGGGTACCAGATCTGTTGAAGGCAAACGGAAGCTGCCCGAAGGGCAGGGCTGCCCCGTCGCCCTAGCTGTCCCCTCCCTGCAGGACTCGCGAAAGTCTCACACCTGGGCCACTCTGTTCTTTCTGCCCTGACTGTTGGCCCACCACTCTTCTCTCCCCCAGCCGCTCCAGCACGTACCCGTACCCCGAGACGCCGCTGTACACACAGACAGGGGGCACCAGCTACTATGAGGCCGCGGGCACGACTGCCCAGGTTAGCACACCCGCCACCTCACAGACGGGGGCCAGCAGCGCTTCTGTGCCCATGTATGCATCCGGCAGCCCAATCGTCGCCAGCTCGACCAGCAGTGCTGGTGGGGCCAGCAGTGGTGGTGGAGGCAGTGGTGGCAGCGGGGGAGGCACTGGCAATGGCAGTGGCAGCGGGAATGGCAGTGGCAGCAGCGGCGGAGCGGGCACCTACGTGATCCAAGGCGGCTACATGCTGGGCAGCACCAGCCAGTCTTATTCCCACACCACCCGTGCCTCACCAGCCACCGTAAGTGCCCAGCCGAGCCCCAGAGCAGGCAGTAGGGAGGTGGGTGGCAAATAGTGGGGACCAGAAGCTAGTGCCTGGTAGTGGTCACTGGCCACCACCAGCAAGAGCCCATGAAACCCAGCTCTCAGTACTCACAGGCAGATAGGATGAAACCCTAACTGTGGCCTTCTGCAGGTAGCCTAGCCTCTCCGAGCACCTTCTGATTTTTATGAAGCTTTTGCAATAGTGCCTGAGATATGTCGTTTAATCTGGTTGTAACTGACGGGAGAGGAGGGATGGTAAACAGAGCAGGCACTGAACGCCCTCCTTCTGGACTGGAGCAGCTAGGGAATCACCTGGGGCCCCTGAGTTCCAGTTCCTCTCAGGCCATGGCCAACATGTGGCCCAGGAGTGGGTCAGGACACGAGTTCTAGGTGGCACCCTGACAGTGATTGACCTAGCTTCTGCCCTTTTGTTTTTTCTTTTTTTTTTTTTTTGTCTGGTTTATAAAATACCAATCGTGACCCACCTAGCTTATTTCATGCTATTGCAGGGTCCTCACCTGCTCAGAAGCACGCTGCACCAGCTAGGTGATAGGGCATTCTCCAGTAAGGAACACAGGTGCTCTCTGGGCTGCTCCGGGTAGCTTTGAGCCCTTCGGATTGGCTGGGGCACTCAGTGACTGAGGGTTTTTAAAAAATTATTTGTTTGGAAATAATTATAGATTCACAAGAAACTTCTGCAGAAAAGTCACTGAGATGCTTGTGGACCCTTCATCCAGGTCTCCTGCCTGGTCCTTTTCCACACCTCTAGCACCTCAGGCAGGCCAGGAGACTGATGCTGTCCCACACGCCTGTGACTTCTGTGTCCACTGTGTGGTGGCTCTTGAGAGACTATTGCCACCATCAGGGTGCAGAACCAAGGCTGGGCCAGTGTTGGGTGGCGCGTGGTTCCCTGGCATGTGCGAGGCCTGGGTTCCTTCTTCAGCACTGGAAAAAGTGGAGCTTATCCCTCTCCTTCCTGTCACCCCACCCAACCCCGCAGTCACTACTTCCCATCTCTGTGATGTTATCCTTTCAGGAATGTTCTACAGCTGGGCACGGTGTCACATGCCTGTAATCCCACCCCTCGGGAAGCTGAGGCAGGAGCATTGCTGAGAGTTTAAGGCCAGCCTGGACTACATAGCAAAACCCTGTCTCAAAAAAAAAGAAGTTTTGGGCTGGGGATTTAGCTCAGTGGTTTCACCGCCTGCTTCACAAGCACAAGGACCCTAGTTCAATCCCTGGTACCAAAAAAAAAAAAAAAAGAAGAAGAAGTTCTACAGATAGGCTCACATCCTTGATCTTGGGAGATTTTTTTTTTCCACTCTGCATAAATTAACATACTTTTCTCTTTTGGTACTGGACATGGAACCCAGATTCTTCACACTGAGCTACAGCTCCAGCCCAGGCTGGGCTTGAACTTGTGATCCTCCTGCCTCAGCCTCCCAGAGTTCCAGGATTACTGGCGAGCACCACCACTTCTGGGTGTAAATTTGTATTTAAATAGCTGTGTGGTGGCCAGCGCATCTCTAAAAAATTGTGCACAATATGGGCGGGCATGGGTACTTTTCCCAGGGAGGATGGGATACAACATGTACCCTGTGCAGTGACCATCCCCATGGGAAGTGGCTACAATGTTGGTGGCGCTTTGCTGCCCCCCCCACCTCCTGCCCCCCAGGTCCAGTGGCTCCTGGACAACTATGAGACGGCGGAGGGCGTGAGCCTGCCACGCAGCACCCTCTACTGCCACTACCTGCTGCACTGCCAGGAGCAGAAGCTGGAGCCCGTTAACGCTGCCTCCTTCGGCAAGCTCATCCGCTCTGTCTTTATGGGTCTGCGGACGCGCCGCCTTGGCACCAGGTGCGCAACCCACCCTTGACCTCTTGGCCCAACCCCAACCCCAGGCTGTCCTGGCTTTAGCTCCTCTGATGCGCCCCATGCTCTTACCCTAGGGGCTTTGTGCAGAACGTACCTTCTGCCTGTGCTCTTTCCCTGGCTCCTCCGTCCTTGCCACCCCGCCTTCCTACTCTGGTTAGTTTTTCTCCTTAGCATCTAGCACCCACTCCCCAGCTCACCTTTCATGTTGCTTATCCCTCTTCTGCTCTGTATGGAACAGACTTACCCTGATGCTGTCAGGGCTGCACAGTTGGTGCTTAATCAGGGCCTGTGGGTCAGTGGCTTCTACCTTCTCACCTTCCATGAATCCCAGCCCCTCCTCCCCCTTTCAACTCCCAGTTCTGGTTCCCAGTGGTGTCACCACCTTGTTCATTCATTCATTCATGCATCACCTTGGGCAAAGTCCTGGATCTCCATGGGCCTGGCTTCCTCATCTGCCCACTGGGATAATATTAGGAGCACCCTTCACAGGGGAGGCTTAGGCAGAATGGTTTCCTGTGCCTGCTCCTCACTAGAATTGGGGTGTGCAGTAGAGCAGCCCCTGGCTTCTCCTTCAGCTCCCTCCCAGGGAAGCGGTGTGGAGTGAGGCCTCAGGACCCTGCCTGGCCCTTACCCCCACTTTCCCCCAGGGGCAACTCCAAGTACCACTACTATGGCCTGCGAATCAAGGCTAGCTCACCCCTGCTGCGGCTCATGGAGGACCAGCAACACATGGCCATGCGGGGTCAGCCCTTTTCCCCGAAGCAGAGGTAGGGGCAGTGCGGAGTGGAGTGCCCTGGGCCGTGCCTCCACTCCAGTCTGCTGCTAGCTGCCCCTTCCCCTGCAGGCTCAAGCCCATCCAGAAGATGGAGGGCATGACCAATGGTGTGGCCGTGGGGCAGCAGCAGCCTGCAGGGCTGTCAGACATCAGCGCGCAGGTCCAACAGTACCAGCAGTTCCTGGGTGAGCACCAGCCAGAGAGGTTGCACAGGGGTGGCTCGCCGGAGAGGTGGACAGGACAGCACTATCTGAGCATAGGGACATTTCCTTCCCCCCTGCCTCTTCAGGGTGGCTTCCTCCTGGAGCTTGCCTGCTGTGTGGCCCATAGGTTCCTGAGGCACTGAGGGAGGTGGGGGGTGGGATGTGACACTTGGAGTAGAACCAAAGGTGTGGGGGTGACTCTCCAGGGCTGGGTCCACCTCAGGGCCTGTAGGGTCTGCACAGTGTCCCTGAGAACCCTGGGCCTTGGGGGCTAAGTTGCCTCTACCCACTGTCCCACCTCCCCAGGGCTGGCCCAGGGCCACCATGTAGCAAGTGAACCAGGGTGATATTCTGTGTCATGGGTGGGTCATGGGGCCTCCCAGGGCCTCATCACCCCCTCTACACTTGGGAAACCTATGCTGGGTGGGATCCCATGGGCAGACTAGGTGTGGCAGGCGGGTGGAGGACGAAAGCTTCATGGTGCCCCCACCCCCAGATGCATCCCGTAGCCTCCCTGACTTCACGGAGCTCGACCTCCAGGGCAAAGTGCTTCCCGAGGGTGTTGGACCAGGGGACATCAAGGCTTTCCAGGTCCTGTACCGGGAACACTGTGAGGTAGGATGGGCAGGCAGGCCAGGGAGTGGGCAGGCAGGGCTCGGCCCTGCTAGGGTAGGCCCAAGCAGCTGCCCCTTGGTCCTGAGTGCATGGCTTCCCCTCCAGGCCATCGTGGATGTCATGGTAAACCTGCAGTTCACACTGGTGGAAACGCTGTGGAAGACCTTCTGGAGGTACAACCTCAGCCAGCCCAGCGAGGCACCACCATTGGCCGTGTGAGTCCACAGGGCACCTGCACCACCTTGGCCATCCATGGGGCCACATGCCCTTGACCCCTGAGTGTGCATGTATATCCACTGATGCTGAGAGCACTGTGCCTGCCCTGGAGGGCAGTGCAGGGTCCCCACTTGAGCTCTGGGGCCTTGGGCCCACAGGAGGTGGGAGTAGCATCCTGACTCCCTAGTGGCAGTGTGTGTTGGGTGCCTGGCCCTTCTGACTCTGGGTGCAGGACCATGGAGCCCCCCTGTGACCGTGGGATTTGGGGCACACCCCCAGGCACGATGAGGCTGAGAAGCGGCTGCCCAAGGCCAGCCTGGTGCTCCTCTCCAAGTTTGAGCCCGTGCTCCAGTGGACCAAGCACTGTGACAACGTGTTATACCAGGGCCTGGTGGAGATCCTCATCCCTGACGTGCTGCGGCCCATCCCCAGTGAGTGCTCGGCCACCCCTCCGCCCCCATATATTACCATCCACCCTGATCCCCTCCCCTCCCCGCCCCCCCCCGCTGCCCACAGGTGCCTTGACCCAAGCGATCCGGAACTTTGCCAAGAGTCTGGAGAGCTGGCTCACCCACGCCATGGTGAACATCCCCGAGGAGATGCTGCGGGTAAAGGTGAGGCCAGAGGGTGGCACCTCCCACAAGTCCCTGATGACAGGCCTGGATGACAGGCCTGCGCCTGGGTGGGTGGGAGGGAGCTGCAGAGAGGAGAGGGCTCAGATGTTGTCTGGCAGAGCAAGTTCCTTGGTGCCCATTTCTGAAATGCAGCCCTGTGCCAACCTGCATTGTCTTTATAGGTGTTCAGCAATAGATAAAACTTTTGTTAACAAGATGACATCTATAAGGAAATAGAGTAACAGCCCTGCCCTTCTATCCTGCTGCATTCTACCTAGATGTGAGGGCTTCATTGGGTTTGTTTTGTTTTGTTTTTGTTTTTGTTTTTTGGCAGTGCTGGAACCCAGGGCCTCATGCATGCTAGGCAAATGCTCTACCCCAGTCTGGAATGGGTGGGTAGGACACAGGGCAGACAGGTGAGGGAGAGAAGTTTAATACAGAAGGGCTAGCAAGACTCATGGATTCATTTGTTCATTCAGTATGTGTTTATTGAGCACCTAATGGATATCCAGCATGGTTCTTAGTGCTGGAAGCACAATAATGAACAAGAGGAACAAAATCCATGCCCTCATGCAGCTGACACTTAAGGGTACAATAATAGAAACAATATAGAAGTTCATCAAAGAAGTGCCCTCCATATGTTCTATTCTTTTGTTGAAAGTAATAATAGTAGGGGCCAGGGATGTAGCTCAGTGGTTCCGGCGCCTGCCTGGTAAGCGCAAGGTCCTGAGTTCGATCCCCAGTACCCGCCTCCCAAAAAAGTAATAATAGTGCCAGGCAGGTATGGTGGCACACACCTGTCATCCGAGCACTCTGGGAGGCTGAGACAGGAGGATCCAAGTTCCACCCCATCCTGGACAACTTAGCTTCTTAGGGAGAGCCTGTCTTAAAAAAAATAATAATGTAAAATAAAGGCTGGGGATGTAGGTCAGCCCAGAGGCGCTAGGTTCAACCCAAATGATCATAAAGTTGTGGGCTGGGTGTGGCTCAGTGGTAGAGCCCCTGCCTGGTATGTTCGTGGCTGAGTTTGGTCCCCAACACCACAAAAACAACAACAGTGCTGGTCAGAGCACAGCAAATGGAGTTTTTGATGCATCTGTTAAGTGGATGCCCCGCATTTGACAAGCCGAACCCCTTGGCCTCCCAAGCAAAGCACCAGGGTGCAACCTTGCTGTTTTAAGAAAAGGCACTGTGGGGCTGGGGACTTAGGCTCAGCGGTTCTGCCGCCTGCCTCTTAAGTGCAAGGACCCGAGTTCGATCCCCAATACCAAAAGAAAGGGGGGGACTGAGGCTTGGGAAGGCTGCAGTGGCGGGGTGGGGCCGGGCGAGTGGTTCCACCCCCGCAGCCTTGTGCCCTCTGTGGTCTGGTGCAGGTGGCGGCGGCAGGTGCCTTCGCGCAGACCCTGCGGCGCTACACGTCACTCAACCACCTGGCGCAAGCAGCGCGTGCCGTGCTGCAGAACACCGCGCAAATCAACCAGATGCTCAGCGACCTCAACCGCGTGGACTTTGCCAACGTGCAGGTGACCAGGGCGGGCCCGGAAGGGCAGGACGCAGCGCCGGGTGGGACGGAGCCAGAGCCTGAGGCAGGGCCCTGCCCATCGTCCCCAGGAGCAGGCCTCATGGGTGTGCCGCTGCGAGGACCGCGTGGTGCAGCGCCTGGAGCAGGACTTCAAGGTGACACTGCAGCAGCAGAACTCCCTAGAACAGTGGGCTGCCTGGCTGGACGGCGTCGTCAGCCAGGTGCTCAAGCCCTACCAGGGCAGCTCCGGCTTCCCCAAGGCCGCCAAACTCTTCCTCCTCAAGTGGTCCTTCTACAGGTTTGTGCCGGCACCAGAGGAGGCCCCGCCCCCACGGGGGAGTGGGCCCGTGGTGGAGCCGAAAAGAGCACCTCCTCCCGGGAGTGGGCGGGGGAAGATAAGGCCACGCCCATAGGGCCATTGCTGGAATCGGCTCCCCCCCAAGAGTGGGTGGGGACAGAAGGCCCCGCCTCTCCACAACTGGCGGCTAGGGAGGAGCAAAGCTCCTCCTCCAGGTAGGTAGGAGATGCTCTAGAAGGCCCCACCCCTGGAGGATTCAACCCTCTGCATTCCACGATGGTGCCCCAGGGAAACCAGTGGGGCTTCCCTCGGCCCCAGGACTAACGGCTCTCCCTCTCCCTCGGCGCTTGTAGCTCCATGGTGATCCGGGACCTGACCCTGCGCAGCGCTGCCAGCTTCGGCTCCTTCCACCTCATCCGGCTGCTGTACGACGAGTACATGTACTATTTGATCGAGCACCGCGTGGCGCAGGCCAAGGGGGAGACCCCGATTGCTGTCATGGGCGAGGTGCGTGGGGCCATGGGCGCAGGGGGCGCGGCGCTGCTGGCGGCGGGCCCTCATCTGTGCTCTTGTCCCCACAGTTTGCCAACCTGGCCACCTCGCTGAACCCCTTGGATGCAGACAAAGGTAGGCAAGTCACGTCCCCAGTAGGGCTGGGCCCAGGGGCGGCGGCAGGGCTGGGGTGTGGGCGCCGGCCATGTGCTGAGCGGCCTGGTCCGTGTGCCCCAGACGAAGAGGAGGAGGAGGAGGAGGAGAGCGAGGACGAGCTGCCACAGGACATCGCGCTGGCAGCCGGCGGCGAGTCGCCCGCGCTGGGCCCTGAGTCGCTGGAGCCGCCGGCCAAGCTGGCGCGCACGGATGCGCGCGGCCTCTTCGTGCAGGCGCTGCCGTCCAGTTAAGCTGCCCGTGGGTGCCCATGCCATCAGGCGGCACAATCATGGGGCCGGGGCCGCCGCCGCTGCAAACTGACCCGATCCACGTGCCTTAAGGAACCCCGGTGCCCAGGCAGCCCGCCGGCCCGCCCCGCCCCGCCGGCTCCGGGCAGTAGGCAGGTCCCTCCCCACGAAACGTTAACTTATTCTGCTCGCCGCCGGCTTTGCACAGCTGCCCGGGCTCCCCACTCTGGCGGGCGGCGCAGGGGCACAGCCCGGGACCCCTCCCCAGCACCCCACTGCTTCTCCCCCTTGGTATAAGTGCAATTAAAGCTGTGGGCGTCGCGTCTTCTCCAGAGCTGAGCCCTGACTCTGACTCGCTCCCTGGCCCTGCAACCTGAGAGGGCGGCCGGCCGGCCTCGGCCTCCCAGTCCAAAGCAGCAGGGCTGTGGGGTGGAAGCGCCCTGCCCGGCTTAGAGAAGCTCAGCCGGAGACTCTCCTGCTCCCCGTGGACCCTGACTATTGTGCGATTTGTGAGCCGCGTGAGCGGAGTTGGTAACTTGTTGGGTTTTTTTCCAACCATCATGGCCTTATCTGTTCCAGTTTTCTCAAGTGTTTTCAACCTGTGAGATAGATGTTTATGGCAAAAAAAGAAAAAAAAAAAATCACAAAAAACAGGAAAATCTAACCTATTGTATAAAAAAATCACTATTTTGTGTGCTCCGCGTGTTACAGCTTTTGGGGTGGCCCTGCCCACTTCCCCGATACCCATGGGGCCTCCCTCTCCCAGCGGTGAAAGTGTCCACGAGTGTGGTAGTTTAGTGTGCCAAGCTGTTTTCTACCTTTTTGTAGTCTTTCTTAAAACAATAAATTCCGCTGTGATAATTGTCTACTGCTACCTCGCCGGACTTTGTGCAGGGTTTGGCCCTGTGACACAATGATGGCACCTCAGGTGGGTTTGGAAATAAAGCATTTATTACATGAAGAGGGACAAAGTGGGGTGCTCATGGGCTCCCCACCACCTGCAGCGCGGTGAGGCTGGGTGGGCAGGGCAGGGGAAGCCAGGACTTATTCATCTCCCCGAGGGTCCCACTGGCAGCAGTGCCCAGGAAAGGGGCAAATGCAGACTAGGTCCGGGCCCACGGCAGGAAGGGGGGCACTCCAGGCTGGGGGGGCAGGGCTCCCCCTCTGCCCCTTCCCAACTTAAATACGCATAAATAAAAAAAGCGTCCAGACTCTCCGGCTGCTGGGCTGACTGCCCAGCCCTTCCTGCAGCCCAACACTACTGTCAACGTCTTGGGCCACCAGTCGGGCAGAGGCCGGCACAGGGGCGGCCAGCTCCAGCTGCGGAGGTAGTTGGCGTCAGTGTCTGGGCAGCTGGGCCCTCACAGCACGATCCATGTGTACCGCTCACTGTCCGCCAGCACCTTCAGCGAGCATCCTGTGGGGAAGGAGACCTGGCCATGAGCCACTGCCTCACTAGCCACAAAGAATCAAGGGACAGGCAGTTTGAGAAGGGGGCGCCCTGACAGCCTCCACCTCAGCCCCCAAGAATATCTCCTGGCTCTGGAGCCCCCTCACGCCACCAGGTTCCCAAGCCCTACCTTTGTGCAGTGACTCGTTGGTCATCCTGTTGACATAGCGGCCGCTGCTCTCAGGCACCAGCCACTTCATGACCATGTCCACGCAGCCCTTGCGATATGAGCTCCAGACACTGCCACTGAGGGGGCTGGGCAGTGAGTGGCTCTGGTGGCCCTGCTGTCCCCGCCCATCCCTCCCCTGCCTGCCTCACCTCGTCTGCCCCTTGACCTCGGTGAGGTCACCCACGCTGACTGTCTCAAAGATGCCCGTGTTGAGGTCCCATGCCACCTTGAGGCTGGTGTGATAGGTCTTTGGTCTGCAGCAGGGCGGGAGGGAGACAAGACAAGGGAGATGCTAACAGGTCCAGCACAGAGACCTAGGCTGCACCAATGGTGGGGTCTGTCACAGAAAGTCCCCGCCCACTCACCGGAGCTGGCCCTCCTCCGTGGGGGACGGGAAGGCCAGCAGCAGCAGGCCAATGTTGATGAGGACGTGGTTGGTCTCTGGGCAGACCTGGGTATGCACAGAAACAGCTGTGGAGGGTGACCCCCAGCTTGGGAGGGTGATCCCCAACTTTGATAGCTCTGCCCACCCAACCTCCCCACCTCCAGAATGACGATGTCATAGTCACTGAAAGAGCAGAACTGGTGGCCCCACGTGGCATCGTGGCGGATGACCTCGTTGATGACGTACTCAAAGTCCAGTGTGAGTTGCTCCACCGTCAGGTACTGGCTCTGGGCAAGGCAGACGGCAAGGGACAATGTTGCTACCACCACCACAGGCCCAACACCCTCACCTTCCCAGCATCCCACATACCTGGATGGCGGTTCGCTCCCGCATGGGACGAAGGTTTCGGCCTCGGAGGTCAGTTACCACAAAGGGCAAGGAGATCTTGTCGTCCTCGAACTCTGGGGAGGCAGAGGGTGGCATGTGGGGGAGGTGGGGGTCCCAGGGCCTCGGCAGCCCAGCCCCAGGCCCTGCCCACTCCCTCACCATCCTCAGGCTCTGCCCCTTCACTGGCCTCCAGCACGTAGTACAGCTTGGTGTAGTTGACATAGCCAGGCTCCAGGGCAGGTGCTGCGGCAGGACTGTCCCTGGGTGCTGCCTCACCACAGAGGCCCGGGAGCTCTGAGGACAGCCGGCACCGGCTGCCTGAGGGCCCAGGGCAGGGAGGAAGCCGGGTGTCCTCAGCAGTCCCGCCCTTTGCCTCCTTGGCCCTGCGGAAGATGTCAGCCACAAACTCCTTGGCTCTGGCGATGGCAGGTGAGGGCTCAGAGGCCCCTGAGGGACAGGCTGGGGCAGCCTCTGGGCAGAGGTTGGGGAGGGTGGGGGGTGTCTCAGGGCTGCAGGGTCCCGGGGGGCTGGACGGGGGCAGCGGAGAGGCTGTGTGGTCATACAGGATCTGACAGAAGCCACTGTCACCTGCAACAGGAGGGACAGAGACTCAATACCGGGCTTCAGGGCAGAACGCTCTCCTGACCTGCATCACTGCCCCCATGGAGGCCTAGCATCCACCTCACTGAGACCTTTCTAGACTTGCAGACCCTGAGATCCGTGTGAAGCACCAGGATGGGAGGGCAACACACATGTGTGCACAGACACGTCCATACAAACAGGCACAGACACATTTATCCGACCCCCTTTTTTCTGTTGTTCTGGGGATTGAACCCAGGGCCCGCACATCAAGCTACATCCCCAGCCCTTTTTTAATTTTTTACTTTGAGCTGGGTCTCACTAGGCACACCAGGCAAAGTCACTAAGTTGCCCTGGCTAGGCTGGAACTCCAGATCCTCCTGCTTCAGCCTACCAGAGTTCCGGGATGACAGGTGTGTGCTGCCACACCCAGCTCAAACCTCATCCTTGTATATCTGTTGTGTGCCACAGGGAGGACACAGGCATGGGGGAGACTCACAGAGACCCCACCCGTGGACAGCTGTCAAGCGGCAGAGAGGATTTATGAAAGCCCCATCGGTAAGCTGGAGCGTTTACCACCCAGCCAGTGTTTTGCCAGCCCAGGGCCTCTAACTCTCCACCTGTCCAGAGACCAGACCCCTGCGGAGCGCTGGGCCCCCACAGCAGCCTGAGAGGGGCCTGTGTTTGAGGCTCAGGGAGGAACCTGACAAACTCACTGAGTCACACCACAGGGTCATGTGATGTGGGCTCCTGCCCATAGCGCACTGGAACTGTGCAGGGGGCAAGGGACAAGGGCTGAGAGGGCTGAGGAGGAAGCAGCCCTCTGCGAAGAGTAGTCCCCTGGGGTAGGAGTTAAACATCAGTGACCAGGACTACCCTTGTCCAGACCTGGAACTGAATCATCTGACAGACTTTCCTGACACAAACCACGGCCTCAAGGGCAGGGCCTCCTCCTACTGAGGCCTGGCACAAAGGGGCTTGCTTGTTCTCAGGCTCAGTTACATACACTGGCCCTGCCCTTCATTCCTCCTTCCCCAGAAGCACCCATCTTAACGGGTATTTACATGGATACATTTTGCTGGGTATGGCAGTACACACCTGTAACCCAGCTACTTGGGAGGCTGAGACAGGAGGACTGCAACTTCAAGGCCAGAGCAGGGAACTTAACCAACTCAGTGAGATCGTCTCAAAGCAGAAAGTAAAAAGGCCTGCGGGTGTAGCTCAGTATGAAGGCCCTGGATTCAATCCCCAGTACCACCGAAAAAAAAAAAGGGTATGTTTTGATGTGACGGAATTCTCACAAAATTAAAATGTACATTTAACATCTATGTGGCTGTGTCTGGTTACGGATTTGCCACCCGCTCTGTGGTGTGCCCTATGGGACTCCTGCTGGTGACCAAAGGGATACCATGGCCACCTACCTCCCCGGTCCTCAAGGAAGGACGCCAGGTGGCCCTAACTCTCCTTCCTCAGCTGAGACTCAGAGGGAAGCTCCCAGAGAAGGGCCCAGGTGCAGGGCAGAGCTGCTGGTCACAATAAGCCACCATGGCCATGCAGCCCCAGGACCTCACCCCAGCCAGTGGCATCAACCTGGTTCCTCACACATCACTCTGTCGAAGGACATCTTGTGATTTTCACTGGCATTTCTCAGATACCAGAGATGTGTAAGAGCAATGTGTCCATTTATTGTTCCCTAAGACAGCCACTCGATGCATAATGACACTTCCTCAGTGAGGGATACTTATGCGGCAGGGTCCGCCATGTATGGCCCAGCAGGTGTGTGGGAGGCTGCTCAGTACCGTCAGCCCACAATGGACTCTCAGAACACGAACCACGAGTACTGCATTAGCTTTTCTTTCTTCCTTCCTTCCTCCCCTGCTTCTTCCTTTCCTTCTTCAGTGCTGGGGATAAATCCCAGGGCTTCATACATGCTACGCAAGTGTGCTACCACTGAGCTGCACCCCAGCCTCTAGCATCTGTCTTTTTTTCTGCGGTACTGGGAAATTGAACCCAGGGCCTTTGGACGGAGTTAAATCCTATCTCCAGCCCCTTTGTATTTTTAATTTTGAGACAAGGTCTTACTAAGTTACTCCCTAGGTAATTGGGGTTTGAACTTGCCATCCTCTTCCTCAGCCTCCCAGAGTGCTGGGATTACAGGTGTGCACCACTGTGCCCAGCTTGCACCTCTAACCCATTTCTTGTTTGCCCTGAAAATTCTCCCGCAATGTTTTTAGGTGCAGTGTTTGTTCACCCTGAGATAACTTGTGGATTGCAGTCCTAACCCTACCCTCAAAACTTCCCCATGAAATATCTCACTTTTATTATCATTTTCACATTGCTCCAGTATATGGATAGTCTTTGGAAACAAAAGGCATTGTTCTATTTATAGCATTCTGTTTCTAGTAGCAGCATTTCCATTTACAAAATATCGTAATTTTCAATACACACAACTTCTCAGTCACTGAAAATTAAATGGACACAGCAGCAAGCTGCTCTGTTTTCTTCTAAAAATGGGAAATGGGCTTAAACGGGAGTATTGCTCTGTTCTTTCAGCCAGGTCACTGCTAGCCACATGTGGCTATATGAACTAAAAGTAACTACAATGACATAAAATTAGAACTTCGGTTCCTGGGTCATATGAGCCCCCTTGCAGTGCCCACTGGAAGTCTCGGGGGACCCACAGCTAGGGGACAGAGTGTTCCCAGGGACAGGCGTAGGCCAGGCCTACCTGCTGCATGCACGGAGACGGCGCAGGCCACCAGGGAGTAGCTGGTGTTCAACAGCACCACCTGGTCTTTCTTGAGCTGAAAGGCAGGCTGGAAGGTGGGGAACGGGTAGACCACCTGGTACTTGGTGTGCAGCATGAAGCCATGTCGCAGGCACTGTGCACTTGGGTCCCCTGGGTGCGCCCGGCTGGCGTCCTGACAGGCAGCACAGCGGCCAGGTGGTGGCACAGCCACGGTACTGATGTAGATGTCACGGTGGTTCTCATCACTCATCATCATCATGTTCATGAGCATGCCGTTGGGTGAGCGGGTGCTGGGGGCCAGTACAGCCTGCTTAGCCACCCCTGGCCTGGCCAGCCCCCTTCCATACCTCCCCTGCCCTTCTGTCCCCCGCCTCACTTGAAGCCAAAGACGATGACCTTGGAGGCATCACTGGGCCATTCACACACGGTTAGGTACAGGTCACTGTAGATCTCCTCATCCTGGAAGAGCCGCACCTGCCGGACCTGAGTGGCCCATTCAGGGGTAGGGGTCGGGGTCAGGGTCAGGGTCAGGGTCAGGAGGGACCCAAGCCAGCAGAGCACCCTGAAGCCTTCCCCCAGCACAGGCAGGCAGCATCCCTCATAGTACGAAAGCCAGCCCCGACACAGCAAAGCCAATGGGAGCCCTGCAGGTGGAGGGGCTATGGTAGGAAATAGGGACCTAAGCCCCGCTCCCCTGGGTGGAATCCTACACTGCTGTGGCCTCCAGTGTGAACAGAGGTAACAGCACCCAGCTGAGGTGGGGTGAGAGGTCAAGGGTCAAGGCTAAAGCCAGGGCAGCACCCTATGTGGTTCTCCCAGAACTGTCTGCTACTTAATTCAAAAGAGGGTATCACAGACTTCTTTCATTTTGGGCAGTACTTAGGGTTGAACCCAGGGACTTCACACTGAGCTCCATCTTCAGTCCTTTTTTCTATTTTATTTTGAGACCAGGTCTTGCTAAGTCACTAGTTTGCCCAGGCTGGGTTAAAACTTGCCATCCTCCTGCTTCAGCTTCCCAGATAGCACAGGCTTTCAATGCCAAGTTGAATCTAATGAAATTGCTACTATTTACCCATCTGGCAACGTCACATGGTTCAATTTAACAGCCTGGGATATCTGGGATATTCCACCCAAGGAAAGGTCTGAGGTTTGGGGGGCGGGGGGGTTGGCTGTGGCCTGCTTGGGTCTACTGTAAGCCTTGGGAGGGCCTGGCCCTACCAGCTTCAGCTTGCTGTGTACGTTGAACTCCCACCAGTAGAGGTGGTAGATGTAGAAGGAGAAGTCGTCATCCCCGCTGCTGCTGGTGTAGGACAGCACATAGCGGCCGCACTTGGAAAAGCCCAGGAAGATGTGCCTGTGGGACACAGAGCAGGGCCAGGTCAGGGCAAGCCCGAGGCCCCTGCCCCGCCACCACATAGCTGCCCTGGCCTTACCCTGCGTAAAGGAAATCCTCGTCCACGATGTTCTTGAGTGACACACAGACCCTCGGCGGCAGCTTCCGGAAGAGGCGAGGCGAGAGCTGCCCACTGATCTGGGAAAGGGTGGCTGGGCTCCTCAGGCACCCATCCTGGTGCAGCCCCAAGCCCCTTACCACGAAGAGAGGGACAGCAGCACACACCAGGGAGCCAGCCCCACACATAAGCCAGCTCCCTGGCCACCATCAAGGCCCCACTGGCCCCAGCTATGGCAGGGGAAACAAGTGGGACAGACAGGGGACACGGAGTCCAGGTAGGCTCCCTCCACCAGGGACCCACACACTGCAGCCTCAGGTTCCCTCAGGCCCAAGCCCGGGGTCACTTCCCCCAGGACGGTGCCTCAGTCACCCTGGCCCATACTGGGCCACCCGAGTCTCTTTCTGAAAGCTGCCATGGGCCACTATGCTGTGAATGTCCTCTACCCAAAGGAGGGTGGGATGAGGGCCATGTTCTCACCTGTTGCTAACCCCCAGCCTACATGGGGATCCCTTGGGGCAAGTCTGCTCTTAGCTGGGACTCTATTGTGCTCCCAGCCAGCGACTGAATTACTGCCTGGTCCTCTCTTCTCAAATTTCACCTTCCAACAGACTCCTACATCCCAAACATGCCACCATAGGACCTCCCCTGATGGGACATTCTAGGGTACCAGGGCCACCCTGTCTGATGGGAAACAGTCCTGTCCTGAGGACTCCCTGAGGGGACAGGGCCGCCTGCCCTCAGGAACATCCCAGTCTGATGAGGACACAGCCCTGTCGAGGAGCCCTGATTGATGGGAGAGACAATCCTTGCCCAGCCAGCTCCCAGGCTGAGGGCGGAACCACTGCCCAGCCCAAGGAGCTCCAGGCTGAGGGCGGACTACTCCGTAGATCCCAGTCTATTGCGGGAGGCTCAGCCCTGCCCTCACAGGGCTGCTGGCCTCGCGGAGCAGGCTCGATCCCCGTCCAAGGAAACAGTCTTGCCCCAGCTGCTCCCCTGCTACCAGCAGATTCCGACCCCTACTCCCACGTAGAGTTCCCCACCGGTCGGGGGAGACACCCGCGGGATCTGGGTCTGATGGGGAAGACACAGCCTGTATCGGGGACGACCTGGACCTATCAGGAGAGGACCCTTCCATTCAATATAGAGGTGGCGGCCCGGGACCAGAACCTCCTAGCTAAGGGGCGGTCGGAGAAGCCACAAGCTGGTGGAAAGGCTACATCGCCGAGGGGCCAGGGGAGCAGGGCTCTGAAAGCCTGGTCCAAACCCGGATCGCGACCCTCCTCCGGATCCGCCAGCGGCTCCGGGG